CATCGAGGCTGTGGCCTGTGTTTTCATTGGAGCAGTTGGTTGTGTTTCCACTGACAAACACGATTTCCCTCCTGTTGAGAGGACCTTAAGTACAATTACCCCCAAGATATGAGAGCCACTACTGCACCTTGAGGGACAGCTTGCCATGCTGGTCACAATTATTGTTAATAGGAGTCACAGCTGGGCTGAATTAGCGATTGCTTCTCTCCCTTGGTAGTTTGCACAGTACCTTCTGGTACTATAAAAGGAGGCTTTCAGTGGGATTTCAAATCTTCTGAGTCCTGAAGTAGTATGTGGCATCTTCCACAACAGGGACATACTGTCAACCTCTGGGGCAGCAGCAATAGCCTATATTGAGAGTGTCTTATGTCTAGTTCTGGGGTGGGGTTGTTACCTATTCTATGGTTCTTGTGGACAGCGTTGTCAGCCCAAATGAAATAACTTCATTTAACACACACACTTGTACGTATCTTGTGTGATTTTGTGTAATTGTAAAATTATATGATTCCTTAAGGCTTTTTCAAACATCTTCAGCGCTAGCATGGGTTCCTTGCATATTTTAGACTTTAATATTCAAACATTACACTGTAGAAACGGTGTCCTTCAAGGTAGAGAAGTTGATTTTAGTGAATCTCACGTCATCTCTTTTATCACTTATGACCCTGCTTTTGGCATCGCATCAGAGAAACCACTGCAATCCAACCTCACGGACATTTCCTACCACTTTGTTTTTGAGAGTCTCATGGTGTTACTCCTTAGTGTTAGGCCATTTACGTATTTCAAGTTGGCTTCTTCTGTATTGTGTAAGGCAAACGGGCCGCTTTATATGGTTGCGTGAGGAAATCTAGCTTTCCTTCCACTGGGTATTGAAAGCACTGTCCTTTTCCCTATTGAATGGACATGCCCTCCTGGTGAAAAGTCATTTGACTATATATAGAAGGTTTATTTCTGGACTGCTTGTTCTGTTGTATTGGTCCGTGTATCTGTCGTTTTGCAGACACTACACTGTGTTGATTATTGTATCTTTGCCCCAGTCCTACTTTGGCATGTGGGCAAATATTTTTGTTTAAGAAAAATTCATGTCTTCGTTCTATGGCTTAGCTCTATTTTTATCCGTTTTATTGGATTTCTTATTTTATCACCCTGATTAATAACCACACTATTAGTAATACTAGGAATAAAACTCAGAGGTAGAGGAGTACTTACCTTGGAAATTGGGTTTTATTAGTTTTGTTACAGGAGTGTAGTACAGGGCTTACTTAACAGGAGTAGAAATGACTGGAAGATAGCTGCATCACCAAAAGCCTGCCCTAGCATGAAGCAGCTCATGAAAGCTGGGAACCTGGAACATACTGCAAAACTTTCAGATGGCTCAACAGGTTGGGAAGTGCCCTTTCCAGGCAGGTTAGCCGCTCTCCATGTCTTCTAGACAGCTTGGCTGGTCTTCCCTTTCTCCAGAGAGCTGCTTTCTCCAGAGAGCTTCATTGATTGCCTCCTGCAGGTGGTTTGTCTGCTTGGAGTTTCTTCCCGGCAGCTGAGCTGGGTTTTAGCATGTCTCAAAGCAGACCTTACTGCTTATATGTTCTTGGGAAGGGAGGGACTAGGGTATCTGGTAAGTTTCTTGGACTTCCTGAAGCCTTTTGAATTGTTCACTGCCGGCGGTTAAGGAGCTCTCCTGGAGGATAGAACCTTTCACCTCCCTTTGGAACATCCTGTGTCTTGATGAGTGTCCCTCCAAGGTTGAAGGTGTTATTGAGAAGGAAACTACTACACAATAGTGAGGGAATTGGATGACTTGATTTTTCTAAGGTTTTATAAATCAGTATGACTATCACAAACTTGTATGTATATAGTTTTTGCACACAAACATATATGCACATATATATACACACATGACATATGTCAGTGTCTGAGCTGATATTTTTACACATAAATGTAACAGTAGCTTGTCATGTATCATAAGTGCATTTCTAGCCATAATATGTTTCCTATTAGCCACGTTTCTTATCCCTGTCTCCCCTTCATTTTCTATTGAGTTCATTTTTTTCCTGCTGCCCATTTTCCCTACCAGACATTGATTCTGTTTGGCTTTAGTGTAATTTGGCCTATTTAAACAAAACCCTTCAAAAAAAAAGTGAGGGGGGGAGAGAAAGACTTGAACACTTTAAAGTTCTAAAGAAAGAGGCTGAGGAAGACACTGGATAATGGAGAGACCACCCATGCTCATGGAATGGTAGAATAACAGACATTCTATGAAAAGCAATTTACAGATTTGATGCACTCTCAATCAAACTCCCTGTGACATTCCTCACAGAAATTGGGGGGGGGGAGAATCTTAAAATCCATATGGCAACACAAAAGCTATTCAAAACAATTCTGAGCAAAAAGAACAATGATGGAGGCATCATCATACCAGATCTCAAGTTATAATACAGAGCCTAAGTAATAAAAACAGAATGGTACTGGCATGAAAACAGACGTGTAGCTCAATTAAACAGAATAGATAATCCAGCCTTATGTGTGCACAATTACAGTCACCTAGTATTCCCCAAAAATATTTAGCTCTTTGTATATTCTGGATAATAATCCTCTATTGGGTATGTAGTTGGCAAAGATTCTGTCCCTCTCTGTGGTCTTCCTCTTTACTGATTGCTCGCTTTGTTGTACAGAAGTTTTTTAGTTTAATGAGATCAGAAAAGCGTGCATCCTTAATCTATCTCTCCAGAGTACTGCATGTCCGATGTTGGGGGTGGGTGGGTAAAGCAAACTGGTGGGTTTATCTAAAGAATTACATAACCCACAGTGCCACCAAAGCAGCCGCACACAGCTCAACATCCTCAGGCCCCAGCTTTTCAAGGTTCCACATCTGCTTGCTTTGGCAATGAGCCGCTGACCGATGGTGTGCCAGTCTCTTTCTCATTCCACGGTAAGACATCACCTAGTCCAACAGACTGACAGCACCCTCCGTGGCAGACCTGCATCCGTGTAGAGGTTCTAAAAACCGGCCCAGTGCGTGGTGTAAGGACGCCAGGCCATTTCTAACACTTCCTTCACGTCTTCATTCCAATAGGAAAGTGCTCACACCTGGCTTCAAGTCAGCTTTATGGATAGGAATTTACTTCCCATCTACTCAGAACTTCAGATCTGCCGTTGTGGGTCTATCAAATTCTTTCCTTAGTGACTCTATGTCTGTTTAAAAAAAAAAAATCTTCACGCTCTTCAGACAGAAGGCACCACACGACAGCAGAGGGAGCCAAACAGGCAAAAGCAGTTGCGGCAGGGGCAGGTGAACTGGGAAGAATTGTGGACTGACTCTGGCATTGGCCACACGTGTGCACATGCATACCCTGGGTTTTGGCAGCCGGTGTGTGGGTGGAGTGACAGCCTTCCCACCAAGATACATGCTGGGCTTAGCAGGATGCTTTTATTGCCAGTTCCCAGCCACCTGAATGTATTAGCTCCCCAGGCAGAGAGCAAGCTATAATTAGAATTAGTGCTGGGATATATCATAGGTATAAATAACATGGTCCACGCGCATTCAGCATGGAGTTGCTACTCTGACTGGGGTCAGCCAGTTGCCAGTTTCTGGAGCCTATCTGCCCAATTCTATTGTAACCATTGTCCAGAATAGCCATGAATGAGGTATGACCACAGGCAATGCCAACCACCCTCTTAGTATGTAGCCAATTTGTAGCTTTTCAAGGGGTTTGTAACTTTTCAAGGAGTTAGCTATAGGCCCTGAACCCACCTGGCCACAGTTGTTATATCCCAAAGCAATACGTCTCCATCAGCTGCTGGAGCCATCCAACAGTGTGAGGCCCGAACTCATTCAAGGACCTGCTTGATCAAGAGACTGGTACAGACAGACATGGATGGGAGCGATGTCTCAGTCGATGGTACCATTCCCCATCTAGCTGTACCCATTATGGCCACTCCATTTTCAGTGCTAAGGGGGAAGGGGGGCCATATCCACAGCTAAGCCTTTTGATCTTGTTTTTATATAAGGCTTCTTGGGTACCGGTATACTCTAGTTATCTCCATTTCCTAGACAGTTACTACAGTTCAGTCCAGACACTGTCCATGACACAGGTCACCTCATTGGCTGAGTTGCCCAGGATGCATGCTTTCCCTAATAGATGCAGTTTCCTGGGATAAGGGCAGAGTGAAGACTAGCCACTTTCCTATGAATCACCTTGACCCTGGCTTCAGCCGGTTCCCACAAATCAGCTGATATCTGCGCTCCTTAAATGAACCACTCCCCAATGTCCAATCCTTCCCCAACCTTCAAATGCAGGTCCTGTCTCTGTTTCTAAGGGGAACCCAGACATGAGACACAGACTCTAGCCCCCAAGGATGGTGGCAGAGCAGAGGCCTTCTTCGTTTGAAGCTTCTGCGCTAAATAAAACCTTCCAGTTCTTTCTCAGTGTTGTTGTTTTTTTTTTTTTTTTTCTTTTTAATGAAAGTTACTGGAAATCGATGGAATGTTCATGAAAGGCCTATGAGTTAAAGGCATGGTGCCAAGTCTGTGGCGTTATTGGAAGGTGATGGAACCTTTATGAGGTCTACTGGGGATGAAGTTAGGGCATTATCATTGGGGATGTACCCTGGAAAGAGATGGGAACACACCCTCTTCCTCTCTCCCTTTGCTCTGTAGCTAGCACAGAGTAAGACATCTGTCAGAAGTGCAGGGTGCAGCCCAGCAACAACGCCCCCCGCTGCTGCGCGGCTGCCTCACATTGCTTGCTGTATAACTGCTTCCCGCCACTGCATGCAGCAGCCTGAGGAGCTCAGATAAAGCCAGATTCTTGACTTCCTTTCAGAACGGAAGCTCAAGGCAAGCCATCTTGCAGCAGAAATGGAGTTTACTGAAGGATTAAGGTTTGGAAAGTCAATAGAGAGACAGCAGGCGTGGGCTTCTCCAGGGGCAGACACACATCATTGTCTTTACAGTCACAGGGTATGGGTGGGCTTTGAGGCCGTTATCTAAGACTTTCGGTAAAATGAAAGAGGGGCTGCTGGCTACTCAGGACTACAGTTGGTAAGTCCCAGCAACCACATGGTGGCTCACGACCATCTGTAATGAGTTCTGCTGTTCTCTTCTGGACTGCAGGCATGCACATGTATATGTATTAAAAAAGAAAGGAAGGAAGAAAGAAAGAAAGAAAGAAAGAGAAAAAAAAAGAAAGAAAAAAGAAAAAGAGTCCTTGCTGCCCTTCCAGTGCACTCAAGTTCAGTTCCCCAAGTTCGGTTCCCAAACTGCCTCAGGAGATCTAATGCCCTCTTCTGACTCTGTGGACTTGGCCCATTATGGTGACGCGGCGGTCTGGATGAGACTGTTTTTAGTGCATATTGTTTACAGAACGAAACTGAAATTCTGGGATGCAGTGAATGCTTTTGTTCCCCCCCCCCCGGCCCCCAGAGAAGAGGACCCGAGGATAAAACATGCTCTAGGTGCGGACTGCCTCCTGTGGATCGTGGATCTAGATCTCCAGCGCACTTGCTCACCTCCCGCGAGGTCGTGGTGGGCTAGAGATGTTTCCTAGAGTCAGTTTGCCAGGGTGAGCCGTTGTCTGCACGTGCTTACGTGCTTCCGGTCCTGTCTGGGACCCAGACGCAGGGCAGCCAGATGCGGGGCATCACGGCCAAGGGTGGGTGCAGAGCCTGCCTATTGGCTGCTCTGCTCTGGCTCAACATCCTGCCCCAGCATGCTCAGACCACGGAACCTGCCAGCACCACCAGCGCTATAAATACAACGACCACCCAGACCACGAGTACTACTCCATCCCTGTCTGAGAGTAAGGAGACAGGGGCAACAGTGACCCCGAAAGTAGGAGGCAGCTTTCCAGTGGCTGTGTCCCCCTCTCCTTTCCTCCCCTCGCAACACAGGTGGTGGGAAGGGCCTGCAGGCCTTTACTATGAAAGAGAGGGGCTTGAGACTGGGGACCATTACGTGATGACGTTCTCCTCTGCTGGCTATTGCCCACTGATTTCAAGTCTTCTCAGTTCAGGGTCAAGGTTGTCTTATAGCTGTACCATGATCTACATTGGGTTAATGCGGGAGGGCTTAAAATGACCATAGACCTGAAAAATAACGACTTCTGCCAGCTTTGGCTTCTGTCTCGGTTTCAGCCTCCTCCTTAAATTAACAAGGACCGAGGAGAGCCTGGCAGCAACCCACCCTTGCCTACACCTCTGTTCTGCGGGCCTTGCTGAGAGGAAGCCTTGGTTGGGCTAATCCAACCCTCTCCCTGCTCTTTGTCACACGAGCCATGACACTCCACTCTTGAGCTTGGGAGAAGAGAGGCCACTGTGTCCCCTGGGTCCCGCTGAAGCTGACATTTGGGGCACCAAGCACATGCATCCTCCTGAATGTAGGTGCCTCGCGGCTGGGATTGTCTCCACAGTATGTGGCAGGACCAACTTCCAAGGGAAGATCTTTGGTGGTCAGATGGCAAAGCCCGAGCGGTGGCCATGGCAGGCCAGTCTGCTCTTATATGGCAGTCATATCTGTGGAGCAGTTCTCATCGACAAAAACTGGGTAGTCGGCGCTGCCCACTGCTTCCAAAGGTGCGTGTTCCCTCCCTGGGGCCCTTCTCCTGGGAAGGGGTGCAGGAGAGTCACTAGGGACGGAAGGAGAGAGATGAAGGATGCAGAGCAGCCGTTCCCTTCTAGGCTGAGTTCTGGGATAGCTTGCTGCCAGCAGGAGTCCTCTGCTGTTGTCTGCCCTTGAGTGCTACCTTCCACCCAGACCGCCATCCCTGCTCATCACCTGCCTCTCATCTCCTGCCAGTCTGATTCTCCTATTACAAAGGTCTCATATGTTGTCTCTCACCCTGGGCCTGTCCTCTCCCCCTCCCTGAGACTCAACTAACTAGTGTGGTTGTCACAGTGATAATGCACCTTGCTTTTCAACAGGAAAGTGAGGTAAAGGCCATTGCCCATGGTGGTAGATCATGAAGGTATGTCAAGGAGATGCTATGAGTCATAAAGCTAGAGGGGCCCTTAAAGAAGGAGACTGAGGAATGTCAGTTAGTGGACATGTAGACTAGAATGTACTGTGTGGTCCAGAAGTAGTAAGCTTTCGTTTTCCCCTCTATTTCTCCCACAAAATCTTGAGTGCCCGCGGTTAGCTAGGAATACAATACTAAGAGAAGACAATGTGTGCGGGTTGGGATACAGGTCATGGCAGACAGGAGGTGGGGGCCTTTGAGAAGGGCCTGTAGTTATAAGACATATCTGGGCAGGGCTCAGTGGGTCTTTGCTCGTCAAAGACCAAGGGGTGTAGTCTGACTTACTTCTGGTTGTTCTACAGTCATGAGATTGACAGCCCCATGAATTCTGAGTTGTCAGAAGCCGTCAAATGTATGCTTAGGCTGTGTGTGGTCATGTGGTCCATGCTGCCCCTCAAGAGAAGAACAAAAACAAAACAACAAAAACAGTATTAGGAAAGGAGGGATGAAGAACAGACAAGGTCTGGCTGCCTGTAGGGTGGGCAATGAGGGAGGCGCTGTCCCTGCCGAGCCTACCCTTACAGATGCTCCCCCCCACACAATAGGTCTCTCAACCCTCGTGACTACCGGGTCAGGCTAGGCTACACCAAGATGAGCAGCCCCACCAAGTACAGCAGGGAGATGTCAGTGTACAAGATCATCATCCACAAAGACTACAACAAGTTTCACCGCCAGGGGAGTGACATAGCCATGATGCAGCTGAGGTCCCCCGTGGAGTACAGCTCCCACATCCTCCCGGCCTGTGTCCCAGACGAGAACACAAAGTTTGCCCCCAACAAGGCCTGCTGGGCAAGTGGCTGGGGGCATCTCAGAGAGGATGGTGAGTACACAGGGAGTGGGGTAAGACAGTGTGCAGGCCTTCCCCGTGGTTGTGGACCTCAGTTCCCACCCAGTTCAGAAGCAAATCTGTACCGCCCAGATCAGCGCGCTCCCTGTGCTTGACCCCGTGTCCTGCAGGGCGCTCGCCAGACAGCGCTGACCAGGAATGACACTGGGTGTCCTTGAGAAGATGAGGGTGGCTAGGCATGGGGCAGGTTGGGGTGTTTAACTGGGAACCGTCCACCTCTGAGAACCTCGCTGCCCGACACTCAAGGCTAGGGAAGACTGCCTGTTCCGCCGGCTTGTCCAGCCTGTATACATGTGCTTCCGGGCCATGGATGCAGTCACCTGTGTACTAAAAAAGCCTGAGTGTTGGGGAGTGACATTCCCCTGGCCCTTATTCCCTGAACAATACAGTATTGTGACTAGAGTGTCACAATTGCCTTGTGTCAGATACTGTGTAGTCTAGAGATGATTGCAAGTGTGTAGGGAGGTACGCACAGGTTCTCCTGTGCAGAGGGGATTCAGTGTCTTGGGACTTTGGTACCCTGGGCCACAGGAAGAGCCTGCTGACAGTAAGGGACCACTGTAGATGTTTACACTGGGAATAGAGTTTCTTGGCAAGGATTTGACACAAGATGCTTTTGATTTAAGACATTATCATGGCAAATTAAACAAAGCAAATATAAATTTGACGTAAAATTCAGGGTCGAAATCTGTCAAAGCAGCCTGAGGAGGCTTGCAGGCAGATACTGAGGAGGCTTGCAGGCAGATACTGAGGAGGCTTGCAGGCAGATGCTTCCCTGAGGTCAGGGCTAGGGTCCCCATCCCTGTTCCTAGCCTCTAAGTGTCAACTCCACAGCTAGTCACTAGGCCAGTGGTTCAGCAGTAGAAGGCATGGACTTCCACTCTCCAGGGCCTATGTCAGGGCAGGTAGGGTCTTCAGGTCTGGCCAGGCGATGAGGGGGAGCACAGAGGGAGGGTGTGGGCTGGGGCAGCTCTCAGAGCAGAGGGCCTGGCCTCCCCAAGAGACTGGACCTTCAGCCATCTTCTGCCATGCCCTGTCCTGACCACGGTCGCTGGGCCTGGGGGCAGGCTCCAGTTGGCCACACATAGGCAGTCCCTGGTCAACCTTGAGGGATGTACACTGTGCTCCCTGCATGAAGTGAGCCTTGCTGCTGTTAGTCTGCTCCCATGAGAGACCCCAGGCCAGGTCTGGGAGAGCGCTTGGAAACAGAATTCAAGTCTCCAGGCCCAGCTGCTGCTTGTGACTGGCCATGTGGTCACCGTGCTCCTAAACGTTTCTGGCCGGCCGGTGTCCTGTGCCACTGCTGCAAGCAGGCTCCAGCGTCCCTGTGTCCAGCTTGGCCCCCACAGAGCAGCCAGGGCTGTCTGAGTGCAGGCTTGCCCCCTCCTTGGCTTCTGTGACTTCAGGGTAAAGTCTCAGCCCCTTAGGCCTGTGAGGCAGCTCTGTCTGAGGTCCCCCTGCCCCCACCCAGGCTGGGACCTTTGCAGTCACTGTGACTTCCAGCCTGCTCCTGCCTTCCACAGCCCTCTGCTTGCTCTTGAAAGCCCTTTCCCCTGGTCACTGCGCGGTGCCTGTTGTGAGCCCTCCCCTGCCTCTGTTGCCCAGGGTGGCCGCCCCCCCTTCCTTCCCTTGCTGCCAGCAATCACCCTGGAAGGGGCGTGGCATCTTCGCTCCGCTGACCATCACACCTAACCCTCCCTTCCGCAGTGCGCCTACCTTTACCCGATAACCTCTATGAAGCTGAGCTCATCCTCATGGACAATGAAATATGTAAAGATTTCTTCCCAAAGCCATCACCTGGCGACACTAATAGCTACTACATATATGACGACATGGTGTGTGCGGCTGACTACAAGATGACAAAATCCATATGTGCAGTAAGTGAGACCTGCCCGGACGCGTAGTCATGTCTGGCCACCCTTGTGCCTTTTGCCTTGTCTCAGCTCCTTCCTTCTGCGCATTCTCTGGACCTTGTCTCGCCCATCTGGTTGCGTCTTTCAAACAGGTTGCTGAAGAACAGCCCACTAGGAAATGGATGTCACTTGTGCTATCTTTGGGATGTTTTAGAAATTAATTCAATGGGCCCATGAGAGGGTCAAGTGCATACAGGTACTTGCCTACTTGCCACCAAGCCTGATGGCCTGAATTTGATCTGCCATGCAATCTACTTGGTAGAAGGAGAGAGCCAACTCTGAGTTTCCACACACACACACACACACACACAAAATGAATGCATAACCTTTAATGGAAAAATAAGAAGTTGATACACTGATGTAAACAGTACCCAAAGGGTCCTCCTCATGCCTTTCCTTTCCCTCACTCCCAAAATTGTCCTGTCTTAGATTTAGAAGCATTATGGCTTGGTGCTGCGACACTACCTGATCATGCACCAGGCAGGATGCAGGCTTTTGCCTTATTGCTTTCTAGTCACCAAGATGCTATCCAGCCATGCCACTGTAGGGATGGATGCCCTACACTCTTCCTTCTTTGTTTTTTTTCCTAGTGGCTCTTGGCAGTTTCTATGAGAGGTCTTTGCAATGGCATTGCCCTGAACATGCTCAAGCGTTCATCATGCTAGCAGAATCACCGTGCCACAAGACACACGTGTGTTCTTGTATTACACATACTGCAGGCAGCTCTCTGATATGGCTCTACTGATTTGTGTTCCACATTGTACCAGTTTTTTTTTTTTTTTTTTTTTTTTTTGGATTACCTGCCCATTTCATTTTAACCATTATGTGTGATCTTTCTTTCTTTCTTTTTCTTTTTGTTGTTGTTCTGTTGTTTTGTTTTCCAAGACAGGATTTCTCTGCATAGCCCTGACTGCCCTGGCCCTCGCTCTGTAGACCATGCTGGCCCCAATCTCACAAAGATCTGGCTGCCTCTGCACCCCAAGTGCTGGGATTAAAGTTATATGACACCACTGCCTAGCAGTATGCAATTTTTTTTTCATTTCATTTTTCTGATGACTAATCGGTGTACATTTTCTCATTTATTTTTCCCATGAAGTATAATCTCAAGGTTGTGAGGTTGCTTTGTCACCAATGGTCATGTGTCTTTCATAATGAGTCATAGGGACATTTATATTTGGGGCATGAGCTCATCACAACCGTGCAGTTTAAGGCCCTGCTGTGCTGGAGCCCTCACCTCTCTCGTGGAGCCTAAGAACTCCCTGTTGTTCTATCCTGGATGTGCCGGCCCAGCACACCCTATGGCTTGGAATTTTCTGAAGGAGCTCAGCTATGGACCTGAAGAGCCACTGGTAACATTATTAAGCAAAAACAAAGGTACATGCAGGGTGCTGTGCTGGGGCAAGGGGTTCAACAAAAGATTACAGGCCACACCTGCAGGTCATTTAGCCAATCACTGGCCGTCTACATTGGGGCTCCTATTGCTGTGACGAGACACCATGACCTCGGCAACTCTTATAAAGGAAAACATGTAATTGGGGCTGGCTTACAGTTCGGAGGTTCTGTGGGTTATCGTCATGGTGTGACCAGCAACGTGCAGGCAGACAGCAGTGGCTGTCTCACTGGGTGGAATCTTTCAGACCATCACACTGACCATTTGGGACCTCAGAGACATCTCTCACATAGACATCAGGGCAGAGAGCAGATGTTGGGCTCCTAGACTCTCCACCGAATGCTATCCAGGGTCTCCTTGGTTAACCTGGGGGGCTCTGTGAAGATACTGACCCAAGAGACCTCCGGTGCTTAGACTTTTTTTAAAATTGCTCCGATGGCCCTGATAAGTGTCACTCAGGCAGCAGAGACACCTGGCACCCTTCCTGGCGGTGTGTGTCTCTCCCTGTATCGGCCTTGCCACCTGTGTCCTCTCTCCTCTTAGGGAGACTCTGGAGGCCCCTTCGTCTGCTTACGGGATGGTTCCTGGTACGTGGTGGGGCTGACCAGCTGGAGCTTACCGTGTGAAACCCCAATCTCCAGCCCCAGTGTCTTCGCCCGGGTCTCCTACTTCGACAAGTGGATTAAAGAACACAAGAAAGCATCGCCAGATCCAAAGCCACAGGAGCCTGACAGGCCCCCTCACCGTCCAAGACCCCCTTATATACCATTCCCCCCTAGCTGGAACAGTGACAAAGACCAAGGCACCTTCATTAAACCAGTGCCCTGCATGGCCCTTCTGTCTTCTCGGGTTCTCCTCCTACAGTTGATTTTGTTCCAGGACCTGTGATGGAGCCTCGGGGGGAGGGGCTTGGACAGCCAGCGTGTCCTGCAAGCCACCTCACTGAGTGCTGTCCCACACACTTCCATCTGTGGGCTCAACTGTCCATCTGAGGCCGCGCACCTGCCCTAGGTCAGACAAAAAAATAAATAAATTAATTAAAAGAAACAAAGAAAAGGAAGAAGAAATAAAAACAAAAACTAGAGACCAAAAATCTGTTTCCCTCAGTTTTCTGTTTCGCTCAGTACTGTAGTGCTGCTACACCATTTCCAGCTGCTCCATCCTGGTCCCTCCTCCCTGGGCGGGGACAGAGGTTGAGACAGCCAGGGAGCTGGCCTCCCAGAGTAGGAGCTGACTCTCTGCCAGCTGTGTTCTTTCAGAAGAATGAGCCACTGGATTGGGCCAAGCCCTCCCCATCAGCAGCAGCAGCTTGTGTCCCTGGAGCAAGCCCCTGCTTGGGCATGAGGGGCGTCTCTCTATGGAAGTCCAAGGTTTGACAGTGAGCTGTGAGGGTCCCTGAGGTCTGACACCTCAATAGCAACCCTTAAAGCTCTTCTGCAAGGGTCAGCAATATAATATACCTCCACACTCCGAACCCCACCCCCTCGTCCTTGTGACCTTGCTTCAGCCTGCACTGGCTGAGCCTGGCAGACCCGGGAATGACTGCTTTAGCCTTGAGCTGCCCTGCAGACCTATCTGTGTGACCTATTCACACAGAAGGGAGCTCACTGGGACTCCACACTGCAGTCCCGCCCTTCCATGGGAACTGCAGATAGGGAGCCACTGGGCTCTTGGCAGACCCATGATGCCCTGGGAGAAAGCCAGGTGCTTTGAGCAACCCTTTGCAAGCCTGTCTGAATATCCCAGGCCCTCCCCAGCAGGTGGGAACAAAACAACTCTTATAGATACAATCAGCGTGCTGTGCCCAGTTCAAAGCCCTCTGCTGCTAATGTCAAGCTTCCCAGTGTGCATCCTGCCTCTCCCCCCCTCTTTCCCCTCCCTCCCTCCTTTCTACTCTTCCAGGACCTACAATGGATCCTGGCTCTATTACTACGTTTCCATCACTGTGACAAAAACACTGGAGAAAGCCATGTGGAAAGTGGCAAGGTTGTCAATTTGGCTTGTGGTTTCAAAAGTTTAAGCCCTCGGTGGTGTGTCTTGCAGCGAGCGATTGGAGGGCCGAGGAATGCCAGGAGATCACACAACGGACCTCACGAGAGAGATGGAGCATTAGCATACAGAAAATATATGCCTGGTGACAGCTGCAGCTAGTGATGTTAGAGCTGCTGAGCCCAGCCACCGGCGTCGTGGGAGATGGGGGTCACCTGGTTCCGGAAGGTGGTGGCTCGTTCTCAGTTTTCCAACATTCCTCCTCCTCGTTTATTACAAAAGGCAAGGAGCCGTGCTCTTTCAAGTGCTTCCTATTGGGCTTCTGTATCACTGTTGATCCTCACTGTTGGGACATTTTTTTTTTTAAATTTTGTCATTGAAGAAACGTAGAGGGGAAATTGATAAGGCAGGGTGCAATTAGTAAAAGCAGGAAAGGGAGGGGAGTATCCAATTCCACATGGGGTTCTCAAAGGCCCAGAGGCTGGAGGCATCTAGTTGTCTCTTACATTTTCGGAGGTCTGTTGGAAGTTGTTGGATTTTGTTTTTTACTGTACCAGATTGATTGACGTAGAAGCAGCATTTCTGGCCGTGGTAGCCCCCTCCTTTGATCCCAGCACTTGGGAGGCAGAGGCAGGTGGATCTCCATGAGTTTGAGGCCAGTGAGTTCAGGACAGCCAGGGACACATACATACAGGGAAACCCTGCCTTGAAATACAAAAAAAAAAAAAAGAAGAAGAAGAAAAAGAAGAAGAAGAAAAGAAGAAGAAGAAGAAGAAGAAGAAGAAGAAGAAGAAGAAGAAGAAGAAGAAGAAGAAGAAGCACTCTTCTCAGAGGAAGAGGCCAAGGGCAAAGCTGCCCTCTTTCAGCTGTAAGGAGATCTAGTCCGCATTGGTTCTGGAGTATCACCACAGACAGCCATGGGACCAGTTTGTCCTTGAAGGGTGAATATGGAATAGGCCACCTGTTGGTGCTCCTGGATGAACTGGGAAGAAAACCGGTGATCCCTGAACAGAGAGGTGGCCATTCCCTCTGGCAGCACTCAGCTATTCCTGCAATGGCCAGAGCGGGAGGATTTGAACTGCCCTTCTATTATGTGGGGGATTGGTAGGGGTTCTTTTCCATGTATCACCTTTTAACTTGGGGGAAGAGTAATACCAGCTTGCAAACTCCTGACCATATAGCAGGTAGGCAACTGTAGATTTGAGTGGAAAGTATCCATCCCCGGATACTACATTTCTCTGCCAACGTGATAAACCAGCTCAAGCAGAATTAAAAATAAAAGATCAGGCCTGTTGAGCAAAGCACTCCCGGGTGGGTGACCTTTCCAGCCCCCAAAGATGAGGCAAGGGAAGGGGTCGAGGAAAAAAATCACATGGCCATTCTGAAGGAGGGGGTTTAAATACCCTGTAGGCCGGTCTTGAGCAGTTAGCAGCTTTGGGGGAAGAGCCTGGACTTTAGTCGGTTTTTCTGTGAGGGCGGGGTTTGGAGAGAGAGGAGTGGGGTGGAGTTGGAGAGAGTCAAAGCTTTATGATGTTAGGGCATTGGGGCTGAGGGCAGATATGGAGGGCTAGGGTTTATTGCAACCTAAGGATGGCTTAAAGCGGTCCAGCAAGCCAAGGGTGCTGACATAAAAAGGGTAGGAGGTGGACACAACACTGGCCTTGGGGCAGCTGGTGAATGGGGAGGTAGGGTTATTTGGTTAGGTTACGGAAGATGCCCTAAGTGGCAGTTGTGATCTAGTCCTGCAGGAAGTCGGGAGGACATCTCTGAAATTTTGTAGTGTGAGCCCATTCATTTTTAGGAGTCAACATTTGTGGGTTTTTTTTTTTTTTTTTTTTTTGAGCCACATAATAATCCTTGAGTATGTTTTCAAGATTCTCAGTAAGAAGAGTCATCAAGTAGTGTTCTAAAGGGATAAAGAGGAAATTAGAACAGGCGTATTAAGTGGGGGTGGGGGATGGGAGTGCAGTGTAGAGAAGAGAATATGGAGAGGGATAGCACTAAAGGCCTTTTGAAAGGCCTTATGAAAACTACTACTGTAGTGCGCGCCCATGTGCGCGCACGCACACACTCTTATTTCCTGGGTGATGGGAGATGTCATTCTGTAAATGTGTTTCTCTTATTGGTTAATGAATAAAACACTCTTGGCCAATAGGAAAGCAAGACAGGTGGGACTAGGAGACAAGGAGGATTCAGGGAGAAGAGTAGGAGATTCAACATGTAGAGACTTGAGGGAGAACAATTTTATTAGACCAATCAGGTGTTTTAGACTGTCATATGAGTACAGCAATAGGTCATTATGAGTCGTTTTATTATGGTTTTATTGCTATGGTCATCTAGCAGAATAGCAGTAGGGCTCATCTAGTCTCAAGTTATTGACCTTATTGACAGTGTCAGACATGGGCTCCATCTCATAGAGTGGTTCTTAAACCCAATTTCAGAAAAGAGGTTGGTTACTTCCACATTTTTGCCACAATTGACCCAGAGGAGAGTATTTCATGCTAGACAAGTTATTATTATTGTTTGAGGGCTCATAGCCAGGTGAGAGGTATAGCACCTTCCAGCACTGTGGATACTAGCCAATAGGGGTGAAGCTTGCAGTTGAGTACCAACCAGCTAAATGTCTCCATGTATGTTCTATGACATAAGAATGTGGTGTCTTCAGCAATGGGGCCTTACCACCAAGTTGTGGATAGTAACCAATAGCACTGGCAATAGTCTGTAGTGTTTGGGATGTTTATGGGATCCCATTGACCAACAACTCAAAAGATGTAATCTATTCCTGGTACTGGGGTTTTTTATTTGTTATCATATAATGTCTAGTAGGGGTATCCCCTGCAATATCATGTTAGCTCCGTTTAAACCTGTCTTATATATGCATATATTTTAAGAAGATGATGGACTGATTACTGCTAATGAGAAGGAAGCAGGTATTAGGATGCTTGCCCCCCGGACCCCTCCTGTCTTCCTTCGAATACACACACAGCATGTTTAAGGCCATTGGCTTTTGTAAAACCCAGAACAGTGCTCAGGACCCACCATCGCTCTCCCATGGGCTCAGGGGTCAGTGGAGAGACTGATTTGAACAGTTGGTGACAGGGAGACTCAGCAGTCAGGCAATACAAGGGAGGGTCCAGGTTGTTCAGAGTGGCTGTCACCAGGGGGAGGGCCTGCTTGTTTGGGGGGGGGGGCTCATCCAACCCTGCTCAAGTGTGTACTCTGAAACCTTCAGAAAGGGATTCTGGATGGAGCATATTGGGCTCTGGTATTGAGGTTTGCTTCCACTGGAGACCTTGAAAAGAGGCTCTGCAGGCAAGGAGGGCTCACTGTTGAACACGTTTATTGCACAGCACAAGGATCCATCCTATATCGGGGATTCTGTTATTTACAACACAACACAACACACAACATCCACGCAGATGCCCACTGCCCGCCCAGCTTTCCTGCTGGCAGGCTGGGGCGCCATGTGCAATCAAGGGTTACTCCTTGCAGTCCCAGGGGATTCTGTCCCTGGGCTTAGGAGCCTCAGCCTTCACCAGCCACACCCTGCAGGAGGAGGCAGAGCAGCAGCAAGGGGACACTCAGAGCGCAGCTTGCACTTGACCCTCTGGCCCTTGAAGAGAGGAAGTCTTTCGTGTCTGAAAAAGAACAGAGAATACATAAAGCGCACAGCCGCAGGCTTGGCTAAAGGAACATGGAGATATCCGCACCCATTCTGTGGTGCCCTCTTCTGCCTGGCTCTAAGCCTGGCCCTTTTATGGTTGGGACCTGACCCACTGTGTGTGTGTGTGTGTGTGTGTGTTATGTATAAGTACGTATATAATTTTTAAATATAGGGTCACAGTATTCAACCCTTGGCTAGCCTAGAGCTCACTATTTAGACCAGGCTGTCTTCTGGCTCACAGAGAACCTCCCGCCTCTGCCTCCTGAACGCTGGGACAAAAGGTGTGTAGCACCATGTCCAGCCATCTTCATTCTTCTTCAGCACCGAGTGACAGAGCTCTTGCCTAGCATGTGTTCAAAACAAACAAATGAAAGAATTATTCCTCTGCGTCCAGAGACATTTAAATGTTTGTGGAACATTGAAAGCTGATGGGGAAAGTCTCCGTTGTTTTTGTAGGCGAACAAACAGTCCTTTCTTTAGCCTAACTCATTTACATCAAGAGCAGAAGAGGAAACCCTTTGAGAGTATTGTACGTGATTCAACCAAGGCAGAGAGAACCAATTTAAAGCAGCTTGCAGCTACCTGGTCCACAGATGGCACAACTCTGCCCACATGAGTTCTTAGTGTCTTTGTCTATGTGCAGGTGTGTGTTCACGCGTGCGTACAAGGTATCTGCATGCTTGTGGAGGCCAGAGGTCAACCTTGGATGTCATTCTTCAGGCACCTTCCAGATTTTTCTTTTTCTTTTTTTGAGAGAATGTCTCTCACCTGGACTTGGGTCCCACAGATTAGGGTAAGCTGTCTGATCAGAGGACCCCAGGGGTTGCAATAATAATAATAATAATAATAAAAACCCTAAAATGCACAAGCAAAAAAAATCTACATGAATGAACAAAAAGTGTTGATGTTGGGTGTGGTGATACACATGTTTAATCCTAGCTCTTAGGATGCAGAGGCAGGTGGGTTCCAGGCTAGCCAAAGATATACAGTGATACCCCGAATGCCTCACGTAAGAAGGAAGATGGAGAGGAAGGACAAGGAGTAGAAAGAAGGGGAGGAGGAAAAGGGAGGATAGCAATTGACGAAAATCACTGACGTAGCTCTTAGCCACACACAGGCATGTACATGGCATCGTGTGAGGGCAGGCTCAATCATACAGGGTCACCCTCTCTGGAAGAATGGAGGCCACAGGGGAAGATTCAGGCCCCTTAGGCAGTTGGTCCTCAAACACAAACTACAAGTTCAAATACAGTTTGAGCAGGCTCTGTGAAATAAGCAACCTGGTGTCCAAAACGGGGCCTGGGACCACTGTTGTGTGTGCTCCCCAAGGAGATTCCTTGAGATTAGAAAGAGAAAAAATTAGACCACTATACATTTAGATAGAAACATAAGTGTTTTATTAATATTTTATGTTTGTTAAAAAATCTACATTTCTCCCCCCAGACTGATAGCTGGGAAACCAGCATTGGACCGACTCAGACTCCCTGAATGTGGGTCTCAGAAGGTCTAAGGGACCTCTGACAGTGGAACTAGGATGTATCCCTGGTGTACAAAAGGACTTTGGGAGCAGATTGCCCATGGAGAGATGCTCCCTTAGCCTAGAGGCAGGAGGGAGGGCCTAGTCCCTACTGCAAATGACTTGAGATTTTGTTGATCCCTCCTGGAAGGCCTCACCTCCCTGTGGAGCGGGGGTGGGGTGGGGGTGGTGGGGGTGGTGGTAGTGGAATGGGAGAAGGGTAGGGGGCGCATGGGAGGGAGAGGTAACTGGGATCGATATGTAAAATTTTATATATATATATATATACATATATATATATGTGTGTGTGTATATATATATATATATATATCCACATTTCTTACTCTGTGAACTCCCACTATTCTATATCACACTATGGAAGAAAAAAAAATTCCTGTTACTAGTGGATGGTTTATTACCGGAACCTAAGCCCTTAATATATATTTATTAAAAGGTCTTCTAGATTTTTTTGGATGTGCCAGAGATCTTTGTCATGCCCATTACTTTTGGCACATGTGAAAAAAAGAAAGAAAAGAAACCAAGTTTGACTACTTGCTACCTGTCAACATGCCTTTATTGCTAAACAGACACTGGGATCGAGGTTTCAGAGATGGCTGTGATAAGGGAAACATCACACGCATCTCAGTGTGTCAAGCAGACTCTCCTGGAAGCCCCTCAGAGTCAGATGACTTCCCCTCCTGCCCTTCTGCCACAAGAAGCATGTCCGCCAAGATAAAGCCTCCCACAGAACATACCTGGGGATGGTTGAACACAATACTGGGTACACACACATAAGCTCAGAGCGACTTGAAAGCAGGTACCCCAGGTCCAGAGGCTGGGTCTACCCACAGGTGTTTATTCATGTGCTTATTCTCTCGTTTGGTTTTATTTTATTTTATTGTTGCCAGGCGTGCTGATTAAAGGAAAAACTGAGGGCTAGAAGGTGCTCAGTGGTCAGGAGTGCTTGCTGCTTTAGCAGAGGACCAGAGTTCAATTCCCAGCACCCATGTCGCCTGTAGCCCCCTTCCAGCCTTCATGGACACCTGCACACATATGGCATGCACACATGACACACATGTGTACATAGGTGAGAAATAAATAACTATAGAGAAAACTGACACCCTAGCAGCTTGGCCCGGGTCCATTTCATATTTAGACTTTTCACACCAGCGCTTTACTTCATGTTTGTTGCTAGAGATTAAACCCAGGCAAGGGCTCTAGTGGTGAGCTCCACCCCAGCCCTTCTTTAGTTGGTGCCCAAGACATTTATTCTTCTTTCTTGAGGGCTGCTTTAATGGGAATAGCTCCGCTGTGTCCAACCTGAGCTAGGTGGGAGCTTTGCATTCTTTTACTCGGAGGACACACTCAGAGCAAGGAGGATACTGGAGGTCTTTTACCCTGAGGGCTGCTGGGGGCGAGACATAACTTTATAGGATGGCATCTATTTGCAATCCTTCCCACCCATAGTTATCATTTCAAAGTATCCTAATTATCTCAAAAGTGGGTTTTTGTTTTGTTTTTTTCATGTTACCTTCAAAACCTTCATGACATCTCATGAAGGGATCTCAATTTATTTTTTTCCTCTCCTGTTTCTTTGGGGTTGGATTTCAAACATGGCCACTGTTCAATATTCTAATTAACACTATCACACACGAAGGTATTCTTTTCATATTGAGTAATTCTCACCGTAAAAGGCACATGGGTGACTCACCGCTCTGTTAGCTACCCCTGGGTTTCATTTTCCTCAAAGAAAGGCCATCCATTATGAAGGATGCCTACTCCATAAACTGTGGTGGGATCCAGCGAGCTTAAGTGGCCAGAGCACACTGACTAATACAGTGGGTACAACCACAGGGGTGACCCTCCTTAAACCCCCTAACCATCAGTCAGCTAGAGAGCTGTCATCCACCATTTACAATGGGCCCTGCAGCAGGACCAAGGACAGCCACCCTGGAGGAGGACCTTACTCCTTTGTCCAACTTTGATGAATAGAAGCATTTTCAGAAGCCCTTGTTGCTGACCAGGAAGGTAGAGAGGGATCTCGGCCCTGGATGTTTCCAAGGGTGTCAAACAGTGTTAGTGTCCTGACACTCAGATGCTACCCTACAGACCTTGCATAGGGATTGCTAAAGACCCCAGAGAACCCCTTCCCCACACTCCCAGGAAGAACTGCTGGGTAAGAATTGACCTCACCTGTGAGATCACCAGATTTACCTTGTAAATTTACCCTGACTCCCAACATGTGTGTCCTCTAACCTCTGGGACCCAACAAATGGAGATTGCTTGGGAGAGAACGGGCTTAGGGGACGCTCAGTGAGCAGAGGGAAGCCACTAGGAGTGTTGATCCTGGGCTTGGAGATTCAGGAGCTAAACAATCACTAACTGAATGCCATGGCCAGAGGGTGGGGCCAGGCGTAGTGGTTGAGGACCTTCACCTGCTCTAGCGCTGTCCTTCCTGGACTGCCTGAGGAAGGAACAGGGGACAAACTGGTCAGCGCCACATCCACTGTGGAAGGACAAACGAAAATGGCGCAGGGGTTTCATTTCTTGCAGGGTTCCTTGGACACCGCGGAGAGCCCAACCATCTGGGGAGTGGCGGGGTGGGAGGTGCGGGGGTGGGGAGCGGGGGACGGGACGCTCGGCTGACTTGTCTATCATCGGGAGTTCAAGCCAGCTCCTGTTAAAAGGAAGACTGTGGCCAGAAGACATGAGGTTGCAGTGTGGCACCCCCTCGCTTCCTGCTCAGCGCTGTTCTTGTGTCCCCAGTGTCTGGGCGCCACTAGTGAGTTATCTGCTGAACTAGCTTGGCTCGCAGGCTAACTCTGCGTCTTGAAGTTACTGGAAGGAACCCCAGTGCTCCGAGATACCACTCGCAAAAGCGCCTTAGGCCCAGCCATCACGGCAGATTCACCATGATTGGAACTCTGTTGAGCGACACACGGATCTAATTTGCTCATTTCTACTTCTTGTGCACAGATGGTGCGCCATCGTGTAACAGCAAAGACGTGTGTGTGTGTGTGTGTGTGTGTGTGTGTGTGTGTGTTGGGGGTGTTCTTACCACAGTGGCCGAACGTTTGGCGTGGAAGGCAGTACAGGGCTGAGAAGATGCACCTGCATAGGCGGCAGCTGTGCAGGGTCCAAGCTCCGTGCTCCAGGGCGCCACAGTCTCTGCAGAGGCCAGGACAGGTCAACCTCCTGTCTGTGTACCCCTCTCTCCCGGTCCAATCCCCTCTCAGCCCAATTTATGCCCCACCCACCTGCGCCTCTGGTCGTACTCGCAGTAGCGGCCTGTGAAGTGCTCAGGACACACGCAGAAGCTGCCCAGAACGCAGGTGCCTCCGTTGTGGCAGCAGCGGGATCCAGGGACCACACCTGCTGGATGACCTGGGTCAGTAGCGGTAATGGTCTCTAGATCTCCCCCAGTCCCCTCCCTTAGAGGGCAGGGCGCCACAGCCTGGGAGGGGACCGTGCCTGCTGAGTGTGTTTGCTAGGTAAACCTCACTCTTTAGCTGGAGGCTGACAAACAAGCTAGCAGGAATGTGGGCGGGGTCCGGGATAGCCCTTGACACCCTCCAAGTGGCTGCTTAGCAAGGGACTTTGTGGACAGTGATTAACCACAGGCCTCCCAGGCAGGACCACCCATGGGTGTGATCACGCTAGTGCCTGGAGCCCCTAGGCAAGCTGGAGTTGCCTGAATGCTAGGGAAGTGCCTGTTGCCTTAGCGACAGAGCAAAGCTGACAGTTTTGCCAATAAAACTGCATAACTTCGGAGTAAGCGCATCACTAAAAATTTTTTTTAAAAAAAAAACTTGAAAGTGTAAAGATGCCTCTTTGCGGTGTCTCCTTTCCACCCTGGCTTAGCCCATCCCCCCCCCCCCACTCAGGATCCACTTACTCTCTCCAAAGGTCCTGGAATAGGGAGGGGAATCCCTTGGGAGCCAAGCCTCCCCGCTGCCATTCCCTCCACTGGAATTACTCAGGGTCCCATCCAGTGCCGTCCCTGGGAGCTTTGGAGACGGGATATTGCTGACTTCTCTGGCACTGTCTGGTTCTCTTTGATAGCCTTTGAAGAATATCAGAGTGAGCGACTAAATGATGGAGACACAGGGATTTTAGGACATAGCACCGAAACTCGGGGAAAAAACATTTACTTACTATTTCCCAGGTGGACGAGCTGCAACGCTACAATCATCAAGAACAGAGCCCTGTGATATTCAAAGGGAATTGTTGAAGTTTCAAGTATACAGTCAATATAAGCACAATTCACTGTCAGTCATGATATAAAGTACGTAGCGCACTTATAACTTAACAAAAAGTACAAGTATCATAGTCAATGTCGCGCTTGTACATATTTGAAGATGTAGTTGCCGTTTAGAAAGGTTTTCTGATGAAAAACTCCTGAGAATTTTAACCCCCTACCCTGGACTTCTGGTCCACTTCTGTCCTTACCTGGCTTGGTGTCTTTTCAAACGAACGCCTAGTGTTTGGAGGTCCCCTCTCATCTGTGCTTGGGAATCAATGGCCACAGGAGTTGACACTTGATGTCCTGGCCCTGGAGAAGTCCTTCCTCCAGGTCTCGGAATCACTATAGCAGGTCACAGAGTGCACAAGCTTGCAAGACAGGGACGCTCCTGCCCTCTGCCTGGACAAGAAGGCAACGGAGCTGAAGGAAGGTCTGCGAGGCCAGAAGCTGAAGCCCTCTGGCCTGGACTGCTATGCCATCCAGGCTTGAAGGGCTGTCCCTTAGAGAGAGTCCTGTTGAGAGGGGGTGGGGCCGGGCTGCCCGCCTCCCCAGTGCTATTTACAGTGATGACAAGAGCAGGGTGGCCAGGCCCTGATGTAAACCACTGGGGACACAGACAACAGGCCTCCTTAACCTCACTAGAAAACAAACAAGAAACATTGAAAAGGTTGATCCCAACATGAACCGAAGAACTTTTCCAGGAGACAGAACTGTGGAGACAATTGGGCAGTCCCAGTACTGGGAGATTTTGCAGGGCTCAGCTGGAGAGGGGATCTGGTCAGTGGGACACAGCAGCTGAGGGCCCCCATCTGTCTGTCCTGTGTGCTGAAGAGGAGGCAAAGGGGAGCACCGCAGGCTCTGCTTCCTGGTGTAGGGAGGACTCACCCTGTGCAGGGACAATGTCCTTCCCTGCTGTCACAGGTGAGGAAGCTGACCCCTGAGTGGCTAAGCCCTGTGACAAGTAAGTCATTGAGAAGTAGGATAGGCAGATGTTGTGATGAGCTCACAGCCCCTCTGTGCATGGTCCCTTTTGCCTGAGCAGAGATGCTGCAGCCTGCAGCCTGAATCACTGGAGTAGTGGGTGACTTGGGGCTTCTGCTGCTCAGGTTTCCTATCTGCCCTTATCATAAAAGAGGACACTTTGTGACAGGTGTGGTCAATTCTCCTGACTTTAATACGGAAACTCACTTCTTAAAAATGTGCTGCAATTGTGACTGGCACTGGCCTCATTCATTTTTCCTTTAATCCTGAGCTTCATCTAAGAGGCTGTTACTCCAGGAAGGAATAGGCCAGCCTCCCAGCCTGCGACCTCCCAGTGAAGGGTTCTGGGAGCTTCCAGGACCAGACAGGGACTGGCAAACCCAATGGGTGAAAACCACAGAGAGGATGGGGCCTCAGGGCACAGGGAGACACCAAAACTCACGTTTAAATGTAATGTTATTATTGTTACAGAGCACAGTTCAACCGCATGTGCAAAGCAAGGCATTTCATTGTTTCAAGTCAATACACACTTCTACCTGAGCTGAATGATTTTATATATATATATATATGTATATGTATGTATGTATATGTATATATATATATATACATACACACACACATATATATATATATGTTTTTTTTAAAAGAAAATCATCCATACTAAGCAAGAGAGTATATTTCTTTCAAAGGATTTTTTTTTAAAGGTTCATTGTTCTGAGTTCTGAATCCCAGCCCTCAGGAGACAGAGGCAGGCAGAGCTCTGAGCTGAAAGCTAGGCTGGTTTCCAGAGTTAGTTCCAGGACAGCCAGGGCCACACAAAGAAACTGTCTCAAGAAACAAACAAATTCATTAAATTGTATAGAATGCCATGGGGACTTCCTGATAACACCCAAGGTTAAAGGCACTATCTCAGATCTAGCCTCTCCTCCACACGAGCTCTTTTACTAAAATTTTCAGAGAGTATACTCCAGTGCATATGTGAGTAAATTCACACTCGCTGTGTCAGTGTGAGCCTGGCCAATCCTATTTCCTCCTGGGTTTACTTTTCATGGAGTTACAGAAAGCAGTTCCCACATACCTGTCTTGCTGTCCTTTACCTGTGCTTGTTTGCTTGCTAGGCAGGAGCTAAACCACCTGAGCCACATGTCCAGCTGCTCAAACTAGGTTTGGAAAGTCTACACCTTATTGATGAGACTAGATGAAGGCAGGAGTGAGAGGCAGGAGCAGCATGGGATGTCCCATCTCCAGTGTTGGCTCAGGCTCCAGGGGCCTGAGGGCCAGCAGAGGGGAGGCCCTGGGTGACAGGACTGTGATAAACTTCCTCACTATACTGTCACTTGCTCTGCAGAGAGCCTTTGTGGTCCAGGCTGAGTCATTTACTCCCCATCAAAGGACTCTGGCCTGTCAGCCCAGACAGAGCTGCTGAATGTCTGCCACCAAGGAGAGCCAGCAGGCAGGTTGGCCTGGCAATGGCTGACTGGGAGAAGGGGACAGGACTTGTCTCTGGTTATCAGTTGTAAAGAGATAAGGCTGGAGCCACCAATCCCACCCCCTGGGGGGCATCCTGACTCACAGGGTGTGTGGGAACTGGGGCCTCCCTGGCCAGGACAGGATTGCATGCTGTCCCCTCCCCCCTCCTCTCAGCACCCAGAAAGGACTCCTGAGGAAATGACCTGACAGAGGGTAGGTGTGAAGGGTTCTCTGAGCTTAGAGCTCCTTGGGGTCAGAGGGTGGAAACCCTGGCTGTCCAAACTCCCCTGGCTTTGGATGAGTGCTTGGCTGAGCCACCTTCTGTCTGTCTGGTCTTTTCTGTCCTGTGTGCTTGGTGGGAGTCAAGCATACCATATGTGTTTGTCCTTTGAGATGTTTTTGTGTCAGTGAGCGTGACCCCAGGGTCTCACGGCCACCCAAGCGCTCTTCTGCCCAAGCCTACCCTCACGTTCTTGCCCCATTTCAGGGTGCAGAAAGCGGTGGGCTTCACACATGGGCATCACAGCCTCGCAGCTTTCTGCTGTGTATCACGCCCAGAGGAAGATGGAAGCCCTTCTCTCCTGTGGCTTCACCTGAGAGACACAGCATAGGCTCCAGGCCAGAGAAAGCAAGCAATGGAGCAGGAGCCGATGTCTTGTTAAAGACTGTGCTGCTCGGCCAGGCGCTTTTGGGGCTGCCCTCCTTCCTCAGCTCACGAGCCCACTTCCCTTGTTGGGATGCCTTTTCATTCTGAATAGATTGTCTATTTCTCTCCCACTTAACTAAAAGGGTACAACCTTTTTTCCACCTCCTCCTGCCAGTTACCAGTATCTTCTCCTTTCTCTGTAGAGCACGTTAGCCTTGAACTCAGATCTCTGCCTGCTTCTGTCTCCTGAGTGCTGGACTTAAAGGCGTGTGCCACCAGTGCCCAATTTGAGTCTAATTCTTAATTCTCTTGTCAATGAGACTATGAACCCCCCCCAAAGTAACCTAGTAACACATGTATATACCATGTCTTGCTTACCCCACATGGGTTAGTAGACTCTTGCTTGCTCCTGCCTTTTGCAGACTGCAGAAAGTCGAATAGCCATCCATGTGCCTGTGAGCGTGGCCTTTTATTAGAGAGGTGAGATTTTTATTATGCTAGCCTGAGTTTAAGGGACTAGAATAGGCAGCTTTCCTGATATGTAGATAGATAGGGAGAGGTGTCATGGCTGGTAATAAAGGCTGCAAACTTCCAAGATGACTGGCTTCTTCTTCATCTTCCTGGCCTCAGACAAAAGCCTGGCAGCTTAAAACAAAGCCATATAGTTTTTTTTTTCTCCTGCCAGGAGGCCCTCGGCTGATAGACTGGCCAAAAACGTTTCATCAAGACAGTTACAAATAGTTGTGGGCCAATCAGCCATCCTGTCTTTCTTCCAACTGACCAACCCTAAATCAGGGAAGGGAAACCCTACAGGGACTTGAAAAACTCACCTCTCAAGCAGAGACTGGATTTTTGCTTTCCTGACACCCCTATCTGCTTTGCGGAGGATCCTTTTCTCCCCGTGGATGCTATATGCTCCTGATTCCTCACCCCAATAACACCTTTCTTCAAGTGCCCATTCTGTCTGCTGTGTTAGATTTCTCCATGGCTGCTTGTGAAGTTCAAGATTTTTCCTGCCTTTTAACTCTTTAACTGACAAAGAAAATGATCCCCATCAAGAGCCCTAGACATTAACACTTGGGTCATAGGGTTCCACATTTCAAATTTCCTTTTTAGTGCTGGAGATCAAACCCTCAGCACGTAAATGTTAAACCCATCCTGTCCACTGAGCAACAGCCCATCTTGTAAATGAGAGTCGCCAGGAAGAAAAAGGGGGCCTTCAGGACTCAGGCAGTGAGTCACAGGGACCATCAGACTCTCAACAGTAGGGCGAAGTCAAGAAGATGCCACTGAAACCCCATGAAATCCCAGGGAGTTATCAGGACCCTGACAGTAGGGCAAAGTCCAGAGGGGCCACTAGACTCCAACAGGAAGAGATGTAAGGTTGGTAAGCGAAAGAAGAATGTGTGAGCGGCCCTGTGCCAGCAGAGGGTAAGTACATAGAAGACTTGATGACCAAACAGACCAAAAGAGAGGGTGTCTGTAAGATTTCAATTTTTTAAAAAATAATTTTAGAAGGGCTCGTAGAGAAGTCATCAGAGAGTAAAAATATGTTCTTTAATAGGGTTGTCAGGTGTGGTGGTGCACACTTTAATCCCAGCACCCAGGAGGCAATGAGTTTGGTGTTATTCTGACCTATATAAAGCATTCTAGACCAACTGGGGCTGCCTAGTCTCAAAACAAATTATATTTTTCCATTTTAAAGTTAATCCGTTTTATGGCTTTTTAGTTTTGGTGACAATTTTTTTTTTGTATCCACAGGAAAGCAATGGGCTGGATATCAAGAAGACCAAGATAGTCTAAGGTAAGATTGGCTTTTTTTTTTACATTTTTTACACGTATGGTTAAGGCTGGTTGATGCCATAACATAGCTGCAACATAGTAGTATTATATTTAATAATAATAATAACAATAATAGTAATAAAAACCCAGTTTGTTGCCAGGTGGTGGTGGTGGTACATGCTGTTGGAAACCAGCAGTCTGCTGACCCCGCCCCCTGACCATGGGCAGGACGCTCATGGCCATGTCATGGCCATGTCAGGCTCTACCTGGCTGCTCATGAGTCACCTAGCTGCACAGGTGACTCAGTTATGTATATGCAAGTTTTTAAACTTTTAAAGCAAGCGCCGCACCCTCCCCACCTCCTACCTGCTACCTGCACC